ATGATGATGATGATGATAGAAAGTGTAAATGAGTTAATGGGAGTGTATACACAACCTTCAATAGCCCAACTTGCACTATTCTGATCACACATTATACAGTATATCCCCATATCCTCTGAAGCTAACTCCTATCACAGTGGGCCACTCCCTGTGCTCCTGGTTTCTCTCCAAAAAGTCTATCTCACACTTGTCAGTTTTTATGTTCAGTTGATGAAAGCTTTGGTCATTGAGTGTTAGGAGTTACAAAAAGGCTTGCAAATAATAATCATTTGAACAGCATGATCACACTGTGGTAAAGCTAGTATTAAAACTACAAAGACCATATTGGCTCGTGATAGGACTGAAAGAACCTATCATCTGTGTAGTTTTCTTTCCTATCTCTTCTTCCATTCTACCATCCAGCATACAATCAAAAATAAAGTTTGTGTACAATTAATGGTACACAGGGGTATGTTTCACCATTTGCTGATATTTACCAACTGGTCTGGATTTCAGCGGGCTTATACCTAAATCCTGATGTTCTGCTGTGAATTAAGAGCAATGTAGCAGGTGATAAGCAGAAGCTGATGGGACATCAGGTGATCATTAGACAAGCCAATATTTCAGGGATAGGAAGCCTGGATAGATGATGGATGCCCAACTTCCATCAGCCCCAGCCAGTATGGCCAATGCTCAGGGAAGAGGTAACAGCCAATGAGGTTAACATCCAGCAACATCTGGGTGGACACAGGATCCTCCCCATCCTTTAAACATTTTCTCTACTTCAGCCTTGCATCTGCAACAGGGAGCTCACACTAGTCTTCCTGGCAGGGCTAAAATAATAAACAAACATAGGAAGAGTCCATTGATTGGACCAAAGATCTATCACGTCCAATGACCGTTCCTTATTGTGGCCAATTAGATGCTTACAAAAAGCTAACATAGCATACATGAAGGGTCTTATTTCTTGAAATGTGCTACAGAAATGTTAAGTTTTATTAGTAGACAAAGGCGATGCCTTGAAAATATATATATAAAAACCCCATCAGTTCAAACTGCTGTAAGACTCCTTGTTAGTCTAACATGGCCCTCTCTCTAGATAGGCATGGCAAAAGCATGAGGATAAAAGATGTTATGTGTACTACCTTTATATCTTCCTGAGAAAAGTTTGTGTGTGTGTGTGTGTGTGTGTGTGTATCTATATTTAGATCTATCTATTTTTATCATATTTCTGTCATATCACATCTATCTATCATCTATCTATCGATCTCTATCATCTATCTATATCATATACCATCTATATCTATCTATCTATCTATCATCTATCTATCTACTATCTATCTACCATCTATCTATCATCTATCTATTATCTATCTATCATCTATCTTTCTATCATCCATCTATCTATCATCTATCTATCATCTATCTATCTATCTATCTGTCTATCTATCTATCTATCTATCTGCCAACCATCTATCATCTATCTATCTGTCTATCATCTAGCTGGCTATCATCTCTTTCATGCACGGTGCTTTATGGACTACAGGAAGACAGGTCTCTGCCATGAGGAACTGCAACTAAACTTGCCATCTAAAATTGCAACAGAGGGAAATCATGTGTTGTAATTTAACTTCAGGTACACATATTTAGGATTACTTACGTGCAGTAAAGCATGGGAACCAGGGGCTGTGCTAATGACTTTTTGGAAAAGGTGGCTTTCAGCCTGTTTTGGGAGGCAGTGTTTGAGGCAGCAAGGGAGAAAGAGCAGAGCAGTATGAAATAAAATCAATTATATTTCACATTAACAGCAGTCTGCTTTCAGCGCAGGAGCTAGAACATTGTGAAGCCCTTGCATCTTCTCGGCATCCCCATTCTTTGGGCCCATCTGTCCTCCTAAAGATTTCTGTATATTGTTTGTAATGAATGAGCAAGTATGCTGTTTTTCCAGAAAAAGAGAATTTCTCTTTGGCTTCAAACAGCAGCCAGCTGCAGATCTGACTTGTGGACTTGCCGCCGGTTTGCTTTTTGAGCCTTTCACCCAGAGAATTCAATTGTTCTGGGCCAAAGCAATTGCTCCCTGTGCATGGTTCAGTCACTCCTGGTTGTGCAACAGAACCTCCCCCCCCCCCACTGCACCTGGACTCTCCTCGCAACACTGCAAATCCTTAAAAAGGCAAGATTATAAACATTTTGCACTATGCAAACAAATAACATCAGCGAAAGAGATGTGTCAGTTTCTTAACCCTCAAGACCCCACTTGTTATTACTGATGAATAAGACCCAGCAGGCCCAAACGTGTTTGCAAACCTGTAGGCTTTTCCTTTTATGGCTGGGTATTACTACTTTGTATTTAAAGGCATTAACTAATTAATCATCACATCATCGCCACAAAACAGGTATTAGAATGCATTTTTTTCTCATTGTGCTATGAGAGAACCAAAGGCAAATAAGGGGCATTATTAGGATTCCCAAGTGATCTTATGTCTAGGCCATGACCAGCCCCAGATATGCTCAGCTTCAAGAAGGTGATAGTGGTAGTAATAGGGGGTGGTGCGGTGCAGCAGAGTTGCAAAGCCACTGCCATCAAATTATAGAATTGTAGAGTAGGAAGGGACCCCAATGGCCATCTAGTCCAACCCCCTGCAATGCAGGAATCTCAGCTAAACCATCCATGGCATATGGCCATCCAACCTCCTTCCAAGGAAGGAGAGTCCACTACCTCCTGAGAGAGACCGTTCCACTGGCAAGCAGCTTACTGTCAGAAGGTTTTTTTCTGTTGTTTCATCAGAATCTCCTTTCTTGTAATTTGAATCCATTGGTTTGGGTCCTACCCTCCAGAGCAGGAGAAAACAAGCATGCTCCCTCTTCCATGTGACAGCCCTTGAGATATTTGAAGAAGGCTATCATATCTCCTCTCAGTCTCCACTTTTCCAGGCTAAGCATATCCAACTCCTTCAACCATTCCTCATAAGGCTTGGTTTCCTTGATCATCTTGGTCGCCCTCCTCTGCACACATTCCAGCTTGTCAGCATCCTTCTTAAACTAAGGCACCCAGAACTGGACATAGTATTCCAGGTGTCTTGACACTGGCACTGCTAGAGTTTATCTGGAGGGGGATGGAGTGGGGCAGGGCAGGGCAGGGCAGGGTGTCAGCAAAGTCAGGGTCGGGTAGACACATCAGGGAAGCCAATCCGGTGCCCCTGCCAGTTTGTCCAAGCCACCTCAAACTTGCTGCCCCCCTGTCCTGCCTGAGCCCTGTCCAGATAATCTGTAGAAATGTTGATGGAAGAGAGGTTCTATGGCACTGCTCTACTAGATATTACCATGTGATTGCATCACATGCCCCCAGATTACGTAGGGAGTCAATCTACAAATCTTCCTTCATCTAACTTTGTGAAGGGAATGGGGATCTATATAGATTTGCTTTCAGCAAATCCACATATTGATAAATATGTGGGGGATGCTGAAATTTGCAATTTTATTATGACTTTCTATAAACTTTATGTTCTGCCTCTTTCAGTGTGGTTTTATGATAGTTTTAAGATGAGCTGCAAAAGGGGATTCATGGCATGACATGCTTAGCCATATTGTTTCAGGAGAAAGCATATTTGGGGGAATGACATACACATAGGATCCGGCACTAATAATCTTTCTAAGACTCAATTTTGTATATGCAATTTTGTACACATTGTAAAATACACATTGCAAAATTCAGAGATCTGCAAATTTTGAAGGATGGCTGTGTTTTGGTTCACATCTTGTTTCAAAAATTGCAAATTAGACAGCCTCGCCTTTAAATGGGAACTGGACCACATTTCTCTCCCATCCATAGAGCTGGAAGACAATAACAGATTCACAGTTGAGGAGAAAGTTGGTTTGGGAGAAGACAGTCCTTTAGATACTGGGCTTTCAGACTACTTAGACTGTTGTTTCTCTCTATATATGGGAGCCTCTGCTGCTTGAAATTTCTAAGACTGCATTATGTGACAATCCCATATCACCCGTAAACCAGTTGGGTGTTCTTAAAGGTCCTATTTTGCCTGCAGAGTTTTCTTTCATCTGTCCTTTTGCGAGTGCACCCCCACTGTGTATGGCCCACTTCAAGCAACAGGGCTTTACCCAAGAGTCCCCTTCCCTTTTTCTATCAAAGCAGTAATTTCTCTGTTGAGCCTGGCAGCCACTTAAATGATACACATATATGCACATATCTGCTGGCTGCCTTGGAAGCTCCCTCTTCTCGGCTGCAGAAGAATGAGGACCAAGGGGGACATCACTGTCTCATTCCATGCAGTTATATGCACGGTTCATTATTATAAACTCTCAAAGCATAGCATCCTGCCCACTGTTCCTGTGTGACTGTTGCACCAGCTGTCTCCTTTGTAATGATGTAGGCTCAGATTTTATGTATTATGTCTAATGGGGGCCATAGAATTTCAGAAGGTCTTGGTTAATACCAATGATGTCTGGGTGCTTTCCCGCTCCCTTTACTGGCTTCAAACAGAGAACAGAAGGTAGATCTGAGTCAATTCCAGCTACTGTGTGCCAGCAGATTTGCTAGACATGTAATCATTTCTCCCCTCTTATTAAAGCTGGCGCTCAGGACTTGCCTATTAGTAGAATTTTATGTATTATTTCAAGTCTCTTACATATTGTCATTCATTAACAAATCCTCCATGACTGGGCAGCTGCCGCCAATAGGTTACCTTGACTGGAAAGGCCTTTTGGTGCACATTATCCAAAATTAGTTTGTGGAGCAGTTTCCGATGGGAAATCAGCAACGAGTCTTCTAAGAATCCATACACTCAGCTGTATAGTTGCAACCAAACACTGTAGATTCGATTTCCCCCAATGCTTGGTTTGTTTGAACTTCAATGAAAGCAACTATTTCCCCCTTTCAATAATAATAATAATAATAATAATAATAATAATAATGTTGATGTGATTGTCTGTTAGTAGTTCAACCTTGGGGAAAGTGGGTAGGAACAGGCAGGTTCAAAGAACCAGCAAAGTATTCTGCTTCAAGCTAAGGGATAGCCCAGCTGGTAGAGCATGAGACTCTTAATCTCAGGGTGGTGGGTTTGAGTCCCATGTTGGATAAAAGATTCCTGCACTGCAGGGGGTTGGACTAGATGATCCTCCAACTCTACAGTTCTGTGATTCTGTGATCTGCCCATTCAAGCATTGGCAGAGAACCTGTGGTCCTCCAGATCTTGATGGATTCCAGCTCCCATCTTTCCTGACCACTGGCCACGTTGACTGGGTCTGATGGGAGTTGGAGTCCAAGAAGACCTACAAGGTTACAAGTTACAAGTTAACTGGATGAGAAAATGTTGCAGGAAAAGAAAACATGTAATTAACATTAGCCCTCTGTTTTATCGTTGGTTGTAAGCAAGATGCACTTAGGCTTTTAAGCAGAGCCGAGGGAAAGCAAGAGACTGAGCAAAGGCTCCCTTTCCGATGTAGTTCTTGCTGCCTTCACAGTTGCTCCTACATCACTCTGAGGAATATATACAAAATCCCGCCCACATGATTGGCCTTCCTTGTGTGTTTGCCTAATACTCAAAGAATGCATGCCCTCCTGGGAAGTCTATTGCTAGCGTGTAAATACGTAAGGAAGCCCGACCACACGGTGGATGTTTATATAATAGCAGGGCTCCTGTGTCTTTAAAAGCTGCGTGACTGATCAAAACTGAACAGCTGCACTTTTTCCCATCAAGGCATCTCTGTCCGGTTAATAATAAGCATATTTAATTCAGTAGTTGCATTTATGCCTCTTGTGGAGCTTTTAAAGGTATAGAAGCCCTGTCGTTACATAAAAATGACAATTCTTGGCCAGGCTTAGGAAGACGAGGGGTTGAGGGTTGCTGATAAGCAAGGATGGTTTCTGTCATTTTTCTGGCTCCTGATTTGTGGTGAAACAAAGTAATGGTAAATGTTTCACCAGCTTCATTCCCTCCCACCCCAAACCAGGTGTCTTTTAAAGGCAAAGAAAAGAGATCAGAAACAAGTAGCAAACCTCTAAGTAAGAAAGTCCAGAAGACCTTAGGTCATAGAAGTGTAGGAGCAAGGGAGAATTCTGCCACGGGTAGCTAACAAATTCTCATTTCTATACAGCATGCACAAGCACAGAGCTTTACTCAGGATCTCAATCTGGACAGTGTGAAGAGGCAGCAAGAGGCAATGAGAAGGGTTGCTGAATTGCGTAAACTGAATTTTGAAACCTAGTCAACTCTACTGTGGAGGTAGCAAGGCGTGTGCCAGAATGCCGTGGAAAAATTCTCGCTGGTTTCCTTCTCTAATCTGTGAGAGGAAGGTAACCAAAATAAGATGAAACACAAACACATAATACTATAAATTTAAAAGAAATGAAATATGTCCAGAGGTGGATTTAGGAGAGCGTGATTTAGGTGGGTTTTAGGAGGGACGCTGCAGGGGGTGCCACAACTATGATGTAGAATGGAAGGCAAGAGGTGGAGGGGGCACCAAATTTGGGTGTTGCACAGGGTGCCACTGACATTTGAGACCCTAAGATCCTCCACTGATATGTCTCAACATGGTGGGGCAGACTGTGACCAGGTGAACACTGTGCCTGCTCAGTCTGTTGATGGGCAACTTCAAGGCTCCAACTCTCCTTGCGTAGAGCTCTTTATCTTCAAACTGGGCCTTTAAATGGAAGACAATCCTTTGTAAAGTAGGACACATGGCCACTGTTTGTGGTAGCAGCTGTCCCCTCCTGCAAGACAGGGATGGAGAATTTGTCTCACCCTCCAGATGCTGCTAGACTCCTTTCATCTCTTACCATAATCCCAAATCATTGGCCAGTGTGTCTGAGGCTAAGGGAAACTGAAGTCCAACAATATTGGAAGGCCACAGAATCTCCAGTCCTGCTGTAAAGTAAGGAGGAACCTTGACTCAGCCTAGGATTCACAACACATTGCATCTTATTTTGAGGCAACAGGCCATGACGGTGGACTTAGACCTCATGTTGAAGGAGAACAAAGAACTGTCTCAGACTTTGGCTGTGTTACAGTTCACTTCTTCATGTGGAACTTCAGGATTAAGATGTTGTTTTTTAAATCAACCAGTGAACAGATAAATGCAGGTTTATATGAAAAATCTCATAAAAACAGAAGGCAGGCTAAGGCCAGTTTTGTTTGGAATGGAAGGAGGAAATTTAACAAAAACCTTCTTATTCCATAGGAATGAATCCCCTGCTACTGACCCCAGCAAACATTTGTTAGTCAGCTTGAACTCCTGGAATCTGTTCTGTGTTCCTTTACTCTGTCTGCTTTCTACACATAAAAGAATGGTAAAAATCCAGTCCAGCTGTGAAAAATGCAGAGAACAAACATCCAATATCACCAATTCCTGTAGAAAGAAATGAAATGAGGAATGATACAATATTTACAAGAACTGGAGTCACTAGCTGCCACTAAATTAATTTCTGTTAAGAACTGGAAGCACAGTACTATACTGGGTATCCCTGGATGCCTGGAGAGTGTTATGGATCTGTCTGTAGGGTTGTATCAAACCAGATATTATTTTTATTGGTGGCAATGGGAGGGGGAGAATCCAACTTCAAATCTTACTCTCCATTGCGGGAGCTCTATGTCTGACATTGAAGAAGGAGATATTGTCTATCCTTTGGTCTTTGGATTGTCCTTCCAGGGGCTATAGGTTTGCAGTTTTTGTTTGTTTGTTTGCTTGCTTGTTTGTACAACATGCATTTTATTGTGATCCTTAACAGGAATTAAGTCTACCCCAGAGAGACAAATAAAATCTCTTCCTTGGGGGGGGGTAGTCTCAGAAAGAAGATTATGGTTTCATGTTTTCTCAGTTGGTCTAAAATTGCAGTAGCAACCTAATTTTCCCAAATACAGCATTGTTTTTTCCTTGTTTTGTAATGGCTTCTCAGTTCCTGTTTTATCATGTCCACATGTGTGGACTTTCCCCCCACATAACCTCTCCTACCACCCAGCTTTCCCCTTGTAAAGATCATGCTAATCATATTGTTATAGGCCAAGGCTATGGGTTAATGTCAACTTCTATTAAGGTTTCCCCCTCTGGTTCATTGCTTATGACGTGGGTACCACCACAAAAACCCCTAACAATTACAGAAAGAAGGGTACAGTGGTTCTAGTCTGCATGCCTGTTGAAGGAAAATATGGTACACTTTATTAGATAAAGGCTTTTCCCCCTTAAAAAAACACAATGGGTGCATCTGGGAAGTTATAACTATATCCTTTCTAGAGAAGAACAAATTTTGATGACATCCATGCATGCTATTTTGGGTCTTTATTTTTTCCCATTGTTACTATTAAGAAAATAGGCATGGAAAGAATATTGTTAAAATAATGCAATTGCATGTGGTATATTAAGCTTTGCAATGTGGTTGATCTGTTTTCTGGTCCATGGCTTTCCTTTCAAAATCATGCAAATGGGTTTTCATTGCTTGAACTGCAATCCACATGACATTTATTCTAGGTTTAGCAGGTCTGCTGTAGAGTAAATAGCTTGTGGACTTTAACCTTTGTCTATTTTTGACTGGTCTCTTGCTAGACGTAACTTATGCACATTTATTTTTGCTTGATCTAGAATTGGTTAACAGTGTCAACCTTGATTGGGGTCCATAGTACTTAACACCCCCTTGACTACTTTGATCGCCTTCATTATATCCTGCTCATTACTGGCTTGTTCGACATTTCATTGGCCCTTACATGACCCTAGTGACATGTAGCCCCATCTGGACATGGAATGTAAGAACTCAGTATACACATTATGAATGGGGGAGAAATTTGATTAAGTTTGCATTTAAAGGTGAACTAACCTAATTAATGCTTTCTGAAGCAATATGCAAGCTAAAACAGACATCCTTTGAAATTTGCACTCCTCTGAGTTCTGCAATGCAGTTCTCCAACCCAGGGATGTGTACAAAAGTAAATGTACTACCATGAGGTGTGCATTATAAATGCATATATTAGTGACAATGACATACATGCATTATATTTGGGGAAATTACTTTGCAAAATATGTGTATTAGGCAAAATTGCACACAGAAAAGAGAAAAATACACATTAAAATGCTGATGAGTTTTCAAGAGGACTTCTTTAAAAATAATAATTGCAAACTGATGTAGAAAGATGGAGAACTGAATACTGGAAAAATGAGAAACTGCACTGAACAGATCCCTACGTATATTCACCCTGTACTTTATCCATGCACACTCTGGTTTCCTTGTAGTTAGTGGTTTGGGATAGTTATGCATCACTTCATTTCATACACCTGATGACTTGCACTTGAATGTGTGAACTGACTCTGCTAAAAAACGACAACCTGGAGGTGTTATATAAGCTCTATCTGTGGATGGCCCTTTCACACATGCAAGCCATCATTTGATACTGCAGTCATCAAATAATGGCACTCCCACATGTGAAGTAGCCATATAGGAACAAATCAACATGACATCTTCACACACACCTAATTTTATAGTCTTGGGTGTCTTCAGTAGAACAAAAAGGGTGTGCCATGACACCAGTGACGTAGTATGGAGGCCACTTCATCAGGTGACCAGTCCACAAAACCTTATGTCATAATCAGTTTTATTAGTTTTTAATATGCCTCAAGACTCTTGGTTGTTTTTCTGCAAGATACCCTTCTGGAAATAGTTACTCTGTGGAACGCTATCATATCCTTAGTGTCATTCATCATCACCATTTCCTATTTCCATCAAAACTCATGGTTCAGCTGGACAGCCTCCTTGCTGCTGGGAGTGAAATTGTTACCTTTCCATATATAGCCTCTGTTCCCAATATCCTATCAGTATTTACATGGAATTTGGGTCCCGCAGTGCATTTTCCCATTTTTATCCTCTACTTGCTTCACTGCTGCTTTTTGACCTCTTGTTCCCATGTTTCTGATGCAACCACATCTGCTTTTCTTATCTTGGATGCTTCCCTCGTTTTCACACTTAATCTCCTATGAAAACCTTCCTGTACTCTTTTGTTTATTATTCATGCTCTCCATGAAGTAGGGTACCGCTTGGACAAACCCAGGGTGATTTAAAAATCGACAGCTGTATCGAAAGACATGATACTGAA